AATATCCTTTTAAGCACTTTACCGTTATCATCCAGCGAGCTATATTCTTGCGATTGTATTTCAACATATATTTTAATCTGCATTCGAAGTTAATTTCTGTTGTGTATCGCGATATCTCTTGGTAGCCGTATTTCAGTGGTGTTATAGCTATTTCCGCCATGTATCCCGGTACTCGCATTTCAGAATAATTTTTGGGGTATTTGATCCAACCCTGAGCGACAGGATTCCGTCGACTTCACGAAGAGCCAATGTATTGTGCTGATCAAGTTCGAATCCTGGTGAAAGCAATGTTTTCCTAAAGGAATAACGCAATAACTTAATAATAACACCTTGAAACACAGTAAAGTATCAATAATAACCTGACACATATCAACGTCGAGAAGGTCGAAAACGTGAGCTTAAATATGTCTATTTTGACCTGTCTGATCTTTGTCTTGGTGTGCCGCTAAATTTTCATTATATTTGACGTGATACAAGCTGACATACCTTATGGAAGCGTCATGGCAGACCAAACAATGGGTGCGTTAAGTAGAGGCTGTGTGTCTTGACTCGAGTCACTCTTTTCACTAAACGAGTAACTCGCACTTTTGGTGCTCGTGACTCGAGTGCTATTCCCGAGCTCCGTCCTCGAACTCTGCGCTCGTGGAGTCAAACCGACCTACATCCGGATGGAGAACGCAGCTCCACCGAGAGCAGACGCCGATCGCGCCCGGCTCGCACTTGTTTGGGTAGCAATTTCACTACTGTTGGTTTGTTCCGATTAAGTCTTTGATAAATCAAAGGATTTCACAATGATTCCACGATCGCAGAAACAACACAATGTGATTCATATCATCGTGCGGCCTTGTGAAAAACGGAAATTCGTTAGTAGTTTTCTTTGATGCGTTAAATAAATTGCATTCTTCCTTTCTTCCTGCCGTTCTCTCTTCGTTGGAAATGCTAGGCGTAAGCGCGGTGATCTTTATTTCGTAAAAGCTGCTGCTCAATTCCTCTTGCTAGTTTCCATCAGATGTGTGTACGATGCCTAGCGTTTATGGCAAACACTATCTGGAGAATGGTGAAGTGGTTCTTGTTTGCACAAGACCGTATATTGCGACCGGTTTTTCTTGATACGACCGTTTCTCAAGATGATTACATTAGCCGGTTAGCTAAAGAAAGCAGCGCAGCTTCTGCATTTCAAAACGGTGCGCTCATAGACACAAAACTTCCAAGATTCGAGTTTATGCTTCCTTCAAAATAACGGCTAAAAAAATGCTCACTCCAATATTTTTATCGCTATTAGACACTATCAATTGAATTCCGGAAAAAAACAACAACCGGAATTTCACCTGAATGCGCGAACCCGCATCGGACATGTTATTAAAGACGTTTATAGGAGACTTCGACGAAATGATTCGATTTGGAGTCCTAAAGTCTCAACTTAATGTACCCAGCGTCTTCAGATATAAACACGTCTCAAAACGTATGTTAACTTGGCGGAAAAAAAACGTTGTGTTTATAGTGCCTCGTTTAGTACGGAGTAGAATAGGGACGCATCTCCATACTTCTAGAAGATTCGCATTTACTCTTACCCCTAATATTCGACGCTCAAATTTAAAAGACGCCGATTGTAAAAGACAAGGAGGCCAAAATGACCTTGCCGAAGTCAGCCTCGCTCAAGCTGCATCTGTTGCTTCCTGCCGTTCTCTCTTCGTTGGAGGTGCTAAGCGGAATCGCGTAGCACCGAATGTTTGAGATACCGAGAGAAAGAGATAAGAAGGCCAGTGTGGCCTGCCCTGTTAGATACTCTAACTCTAACCAACTGTCCCGACGACGACGTTCGGCTCTGCTTTGTTGACTCTCATTCTCTCTTGTATCTGGCAGAAGTTTGATGCTCGAAAGTTTGGCTTAGAATGTTCTAACGTCAAGCTAGGGCGAGACTGACTCGGAAAGGCCATATCGGCCTCCTTATCTGTTCAGCTCGGTATCTAGAACATTCAACCGTCAAACGGTTAGTATAAGTGTAAGCGCGAATTTTCTAGAACTATGGAGTAGAGTTCCTGTTCGGCCATGAACTCGGCAGTATTTCCACAGGAGAAAATTCTCACAAACGACAAATTTTCGTTTAACAGCTACACAAAAAGAGGTTTCGTCGAGACACTCAATTTAGCGTACATTAAGGGTCACAATATTTGGAATCACATTATATGCGGTGTTTTCAAGAAAAAAGAAACACAGGTGTTTTATTCAGCACGTTTGAATATCAAAGTATTCCATATTCCGAAATGTTTCTATTTTTAAAACCTGGATTTCTGAATTTTAGTATACCATATAGAAGGCCCTCAAGTGTCTTTAAAAAATCCAGATACTCAATAAATGCAACGTCTCAAGGGACACGTTATTAGAGCAGCATACCCCAGCAACCGTTGAGAGGAACACCCTCAACAGAATTCGCAAATTTTGGTCGGTGAAGCAGCAGCTTTCCACTTTGCACCATGGCGCATCTAGCGTTCCTAAACAATGTTGATCTTTTACTGGCCATATTTGTGCATCATTTCTGCCTACCAATAAACCAAGAAAGTACTGATTTATTTTCCAACAATAGGTACCTCAATAGATTTGTTTGTAAACCTGCATTGTCTTTTATGCATTTTGGCAAGATATCTTTTAATTACAACCAAACAAAAAAGCTGAATCTGTGATACATATCCAGGAACACGTCGTCAGTTTTCTGCACTCAAGAGAATCGGTTTTCAATCTGTGAGCCTAGTAAATTTTAATACATCTTACGAATAGTTCAGAAGCTCATTTATCTCGAAACTTGTTAGGAGCGTCAAGAGTTTCAATATGTGGTGACCATTAAACAGAAATAATACGTTTTTTGCAAAATATGACAAGTGTTTTCATAAATATTTTTATGGTAAGATTATCACAATAATTGTTGTCGTTTATTTTTTAAACTTTAACAAACATATTTTTACACTTCATGAATAATACATTCAAGGCTGCTAGCATCGCTCATGAACAGTCATAACCAAAGATGGCAAAATTACTTTCGAAGAGTAATTAAATTACATTACTAGTTACTTTTTCAAAAACTGCAAAAATGTAATTAAAATACATTACAAATTACCGCAACATAAAGGTAATGAATTACATTACAATTAATTTTCAAAAGTTTTGAAATTACTTTCACTTTAGTTTTTATACCTTGAGGCAGTATATCAAGACAGTGTTTACAAAACAAGCCCTCGTTTGCCCCCAGAGCGCGTGTGCAGGAACCAGATCCGGGAGAAGCGAAGCGCTGCGCATGCGCAGTGCCGACAGCAGCGCCACCGCAGTGATATCTCGTCAAAGAGCTAAGTTGGTTTATATCTACCAAAGCTCAGATATTCCTGTTTACACCGCAACAACCTTATGTGCCTCAAAGTGAACCGTACTGAACAGTGGTTTTGCTGGCGCACACGACGTAAGTGTTAAACATGGTGAATAGCTTATTTAGATGTAACTCAGAAAGACAGTCGATTTACCGGTTTCGCTGTTCATTCAATGGAGAAGGTTCTTACTAAACGGGTGATATGTTTTCGTCTTCCTGGTTTAAAATTTGTAGTCCGTGTCAGTTTGTTAAGTCGGGCAATGGCAGCTCGTTCTTACAAGGAGTCGTCACGTAAACCGTTTCCCTCCCGCCTCGGACGCAGTCTAATTCTGCTTTCCCGAGAGCACCATACTCGGTGGAGTGATAACCTTCATTAAACATGCAGTGGAGATTTTGAGAGCCCGCGCACAGCTTTATTCAGAGCTAAAATGGGAGAGGGAACGCGTACCTGTACCCTCCATTGCATTGCCAAGAAAATGTGTTGCCGAGTTTAGTTGACCTATTCTTGGTCATAACTTTCAAAGAGCATTTTTCCGCAACACCCGAAGAGTCCAAGTTTTTCCGCATTGTCACACAAAGCGCCCGGATAATTGCTAAGCAGAAGAGTTGCCAGTTGGGGATTGGCGCGAGCTCCCTAAATTGCGTACTTTGCCAACATACAAGGGGCGATATGCTTGTAGGCTTAGTTCCGAATAAACTTCCCAAGGGAAGGCAGCGATGCATACTGCGAGCGGCTCCTGCTTTGCTCGAGGGCGCAAGAAACGTTCTGGGGCTTTGACAGGGCATTTGAAATTAACTATTTATTCCGGTCGTTTGTTGTCCGCAATGGTCGAAACTTACGGTTTGACCTTGCTTGGCGAAAGTACAAGGCTGGGGATCTATTTGTTCTGACCTCACAGGTTTTAAATTATGTTTAACTCACTGGTGATATGCACGTCGCCTTGCAGCCTATGAGCCGTTCATCCCTAAGCTGACGAACTGCCAGCTTAGAGATTAACGGTGGAAGCTACGTGTTTGTTGGAGCAGTCACACGTCTATCGTTCGCCGCGTAACCACGGTCTGGTTCATACCGATGCGCAGACAAAGGGACGGGACACGTGATTAAAACAAGGAGTTTGATTGGTTCCGGTTAGACTGCAGCTCCCACAGCACTGTCAGCTTAGGGATGAACCAAGTATAGTAGCGTCGTGATTACGCGACCCCGTGAATCCGTCGTGCCTCGAGTTCGTAGGCCGTTGCCTTCCAGCGATGTCAAAACGCAAGCTTTTCTCCTTCGCCTTTCCAGCCCTCCTTTGTGCGCCTATCCAGCTCTTCGCACAAGGCTTCTCGCTCATGTGGACGTCGTTTATTTCCTCTGATTCCCTTTCACAACATTTCACCGTGCAAAATAATTTTTCTCTTCTTAGAGCTTGCAAACATATTTTCTAATTTAGGACAAAAGTAAATTCAAAAGTGATGAGTATTTTTTCTCGAAATTACCGCCTGAAAGTAATTGATTACATTACTAAATTATTAGCCTCGAGAATTCGTAATTCTTTACCTCACTGATTGCTCCAAAAAGTAATTTAATTACTGTAATTTCATTACAGTAATGTCGTTACTGCAATATCTGGTCATAACATTAATTAGAGGCAACTGCTCTAACCTGTCTCTTTCTTTTTTTCCTCATTTAGCGTGTTGAGCATCCGGCACAGCAGGATAAGAGACTGCTGCAAATTTCTCTGCTGGACGAAGAGCACACACGTATGCGTACTCGAGAGATGTGAAGACACCATCCCCGCTCGCTCTCCTTGCGACGGTAGAACGTTCGTTCTATTCGATTGAAAGCAACTCTCATTCACCTTTCACCATTACTGCTGCGAAAGCTTACCATCCTCTTTCAGCAAGAAGCGCTGTTCCTTCAACTGATATGTCTGTCGCTGACAGTTCCTTTACTCGCTTCTACACCTTGCCGCCTCCAGGCATTCTTTTCGTCAGGGTATTGCCTGGCAGAATTTGTCGCTATGAAGTCTGGTGAATATGCGATGTGCCCCACGGGAGAACTATGAATTTTTTTTTTTTCAAGGGCTGGGTCTCCGTTTCATTTTCGAGGAATGCGAGAAAGAATTCTTTCAATATTCGTAGTTGAAAGCAGCAGAAAAGCATTCAACCCAGTGCTTCAGACGGACTTATAGGCCAAGGAACCTTCACTCTTCAGATTGTAGAGTACCTGTTGTCTTTCAAGTATGACTGAAGAAAGGGTTTCAATTATGATTTGTTTTTAATTGGAATAGGCAAGAATAAAATGCGAAAGCGAAGTCTGTGAAAATATTTTATTTTTGTTCTTGTTGTTGTTGTCGTTGTTGTTGCGTTGTTGTTGCTTGTGTTTGTTTGTCGTTGCAAATGAATAAGATGTGAAAATCCGATATGGGAGGAGAGAATAGCATCTTCGAAAACTTGCATTCATAAAATAAAAGCATATATGGTTCATGCTGTGGAAGAACAAATTCCGCTAACGACTAGGCATAGGCACCTGGTTTACGCCTAGAGATCTTCGATGGCAATTTCAGGACTGAAGCGAAAAAATCTTGTTGGGATAGCGCAAATCGATGTCTAAAGCCTACGTAAGTTAATTCTAATAATTTAACAGGTAGCTTATATCAAGACTTTTGTAATGCTGGTTTAAACAGTATTAAGCCCCGTCCGGACAACAGCCTTCTTTAGAAAGAACGATGGATTTAATGTGAATTCACTTCACGCAAGGTGCTTAATAACTTGCTTGAAATATTAATCAGATTGAGGTTACTTCGTCTAAATTCGTGATAGCTTTCTATGGTCTTATTTTTATATTGCCATATTTTCCTTACATTTAATATCGTCAAAACAGTGCAATTACGAGTATAGTTCATAAAATATAGGGCTATAGGAGGTTATTGCCTGACAACGCTGCTATCAAGTTTTCCTGTCGCATTTTACTTCACAAGAAGGACTTTATTGATAAAAGGTAAATCACAGTGTTAGCAGCGAAAAAAAAAAGAATATCACTCAAATTTGAGCTACCGTACAAGCCCACGTCCCTGTATTCGGGGAATGTTCAAAAGGTTTCTCTAAAAATGCCCAGTGATTTCCACACGATGAAAGTCCTCACCAACATGTAGCAGCTTTCCCAAGCCACCACTGCCGGATTTTTTTTATTTCATGTTAACTATGGATCAATGTTGGATCTTCTACTACTACCACAAGGTGAAAAAAAAAGAAGCTAACAGTGAAGGAGCTCAGATTCGACATCGACAAATGTGTTACATATGAAGCAGTAAACCTCCCGACTAGGTTACAGGAGCTCATTATCCGTCGCGGAAGCTGACCAAGGGTGTGCATTTGTCCCGCCAGATCGCACCAATGACGCATGCGGCTTCTTTAGCAAATAAAATTCTTCCTCTGCCCCTGTATTTGCCAACCCCGGCACCAGGGGACCTCTACCCCCTTCCTCTCAACAACCGCCACTGCATGAAGAGCGTTTCCATGGGAATTACAAGGCGATTGTAGGTTTGGAACATATCCTCAGATTCAAAATTAGGACTTCTTACGCCACTGTATGCGCCAGCTCATAAAGCGGCGGAAGATTTTGCCCCCATGCTTGAGGAATGTGTGAAAATGAACCAACCTAACGATCGACAATTTTTATGGCACGTTTCTTTCGTCGTGGTGATTGCACACTTTTCAAGCCCCCTTCTTACTGAAGTAGATGTTCGGATGCGCGACTGCATAATCGGTTTTTGTACGTCCGTTTAGTTTCAACGCTATGACCCGCCACCTGTTCATAAGTTGGCAGGCTGAATATCCTGGTTACTTCGATTCGCTTGAGGCTGTACTTCCAAGTAAACTTTAAATTCTCTAGCGACCAAAAAAAATGCAGTTTCTAGAAATAAATAAATTAAGAAGTTGCCCTGCGCCTGTCATATATATATATATAGAGAGAGAGAGATATTTATATGTTTGTTTTTGCAAGCCTGATATTTATGGTATTCAGTTATAGACGATGATTACGAGGTCTACGCAATTATGTTTAGCACATCGTTAATTTTATTTTTGATCCACTATTTTAATTACTTTATTAGGCAGGAGTACAAATTCGAAATTTAATTCTTGACTAGATTTTGCAATACCGGAAACTAAAGATGCAGTCGCAAAAAAAAAAATAAGCACATCAAAAACCTAGGAATCAATGAATTTCTGAAAAACACAGTACACTTTGGTTTAAGCGAAATGATTGTATATAAATAAACAAAGCGACACATAAATGGAATATGACGAAAGAAAAAGCTATTTTAACAACAACAAAACAGATGGGTCTTGGAACGCGTGTATAATTAAGAGCAGCTCCGCCATCATTAATTATATTGCCGCGCCCAGGGCTGAGAAAGCAACGCTCGGTCACGGACCTCTAGAAAGTTCTCGTTTATTCATGTACCGCACGTAACTTCTATCATTTATTCCTGCTTTTGTTTTCTAGAAAGTGCGTGTTCATTCTCGCCCGATCACGCGACGCTCGAGCCGCTTTCGCCGAATCTTCGAGATAGCGACGCACTCTAGATAAGAGGTTGCCCGCGACCTTGTCAAGTCAGTCTCGCCCTAGCGCTCGATTCTGCTGACACGCCGACTTCGACGCCCGCGACGCTCTGCTTTTTTCTGTTTCCTTCTTTATTTTTGGCACAAGTTCGCCACATTAAACGTTTATTTATTTCTCTTTATTTAATGTTTATTGGTCACGACTCACCACCCGTGACATTCTGGTGGAGGTGCGGGGTACCGCATGTTCGTGCAGCGCAGCCCTCCGAGTTCCCGCAGTACAAGTCCGAATCCAAGCTCCCGAGGACCCAACGAAGACCAGATCGAGACTCGATCAAGTCGCCGCACCCAAGGGCTGAACCCGGAATACGGACTTCTACCACCCAGGACCAGGCAGCCGACGATGGCCAACCAGGCGCAGACCCCGGCCGCTTCTGCCGTCGTGTCCTGCCGGTCGCACCCAGGACTCCAACGCCGTTCCACGGAGACGTCCACGAGGACATTGAAGACTGGCTGCAACACTATGAACGTGTAGCCCGCCACAACGGATGGACGAATGAGCAATGCCTCCACAATCTCTACTTCGCACTCGAAGGGACAGCGAGGCATTGGTTTGAAAACCACGAAGCGTCCTTCACTACGTGGGAGTCCTGCGCCGCCGAGTTGAAGCGAACGTTCCTCAACCACCACCGTCGGCAGCGAGCAGAGGACCTTCTTCAAACCAGGGTGCAGGGCCCCAACGAAACCGTGACAAGCTTCGTAGAAGATGTCATGCGCCTATGCGCCCGAGCCGAACCGGAGGCAGCCGAAGAGAAGAAGCTTCGCGTCCTTATGCGTGGCGTGAAGGCTGAAATTTTTGGGGGCCTTGTCCGCCATCCCCCGACAACCGTCGACGGTTTTGTGGCGGAAGCCACTAACATCGAGCGAGCGCTGTCGGCCCGAGCAAGCCATTATCATCGACTCGCCGGCGTGCCTGCTCCTCGAACCGCCGCATCTTGCCGACCAGACCTGAACGCCACCGGTGTCGACGGCCTTCGGGAAATCGTCCGCGACATCGTCCGGGAGGAGCTCCGGAAGCTGCTGCCTGCTGCCAACCAGCCGGCTGAGCTGTCGATCGCCGAAGTGGTGCGCGAAGAAGTTCAGCGGGCAATTCAACCGGAGGCTCCTGCCTGCGTAGCACCACCCGAAGAGCCCGCCCTGACCTACGCCGCAGTGGCCCGACGGCCACCGCCTCCTCCTCCAGCCTATGTTGCGCCGCTCCGACGTCGTTCTCCTGCGCCGCAGCACGACCACCGCCGCGACGACCAGGTGCAGTACGCCGCCCAAGAGCCCCGCGCACCTCGGAAAACCGACGTGTGGCGAACGCCCGACCGACGCCCTCTGTGTTTCCACTGCGGAGAAGCAAACCACACCTACCGCCAATGCCCATACCGACGACTCGGGCTGCGGGGGTTCCACCCGAACGACCCACGCCCCCGTAATGACGAACGCCCTACGGAGATCGACGAGTACCTGCGACGACCTCAGTCGCCCGAGCCTGCGTCCCGCCGAGAGTTCCGGTCGCCTTCGCCCCGACGTCCAGCTTTGCCCATGCACCGACCCCGACGTGAAAGCCTGTCGCCCCTCGTTCCTCGCCGGGGAAACTAGGCGCGGCAACCCCTGGAGGTGGAGTTGCCGAAGACGACCGACGTAAAGAGCCTCCAAGAACGACGGAGCGCTCCCACTCTCGCGACGCTACGCATCACAACGACGCTCCTGCTTCGGTGTCCAACAACCTAAACGTTGTTATCGACGGCCTCGACTCATCGGCACTCGTGGACACAGGAGCAGACTACTCAGTCTTGAGTGGGAGGCTCTCTCGCCGCCTTCGAAAAGTCATGACGCCGTGGGATGGACCACAAATAAGAACCGCCGGAGGACACCTGATTACACCAGTCGGGAGATGCACCGCTCGCGTCGAGATTCACGGCAAAACATGCCCTGTGAAGTTCGTCGTTCTGCAAGACTGTTCGAGGGACGTCATTCTCGGAATGGACTTCCTGTGTGAATACGGCGCCATCATCGACCTTGCGGAGAACAAGCTGACGCTTCGGAAGCCTGTCCCATCGGTGAAAAATACCAAACCGACGTTAGCTGCCGTGCGAGTCCTCGCCAGCCACGTAAACCTGCCGCCGCTGTCGAGTGTCTTTGTGCCCGTTGGGACCGAAGGAGCCACCTGCGGTGTAGC